AAAAGCACCCACATGAAGCACAGTTGCTTTGTCTTAGCTTGCTGCTGAACATCCGCCATTGGATGGGAAAGTGACTAACTGCAGAGTGCTGAGTTCAGCCTGCTGCTATCAGAGGTGACAGCAGCATATGGCAAAGTAGGTAGCTTTGGCATGAATGAGCACAGGAGAATGTTGTCATCTTCTTACCCTTAGAAAAGGCACCAGAGGCTTGGAAATGAACAAGCAGTTTAGGAGGGCTACCAAACAACACCCCTGCATGCTGAAATACTGTGTTTAGCCACAGGCTTTGTTCAGAAGAAGTCAAGAAGATTGTCACATGGACTTGTAACAGAGTGGTCCCTACAAGTTTCAGTGGGCCATGCTTCGTTAAGCCTGGGTTCTCTGGTGAGGCTTCTTTACAATGCAGTCATTTCACTATATTTCTTTTTACGTGATCTTAGAAAAGAGAATTATTTCTTGCTATGAAACACAGTTAAAATCAAATCAGTGTTTCTAACGCAAATAACTTGTTGGGTCAGTAAGATGCATACTTTCCCACTTCCCCCAACATTTAGAAAGTTTGAGAAACGGTGACTTTTTTCAGATCCCAGTATGCTTAAACCAGCCTAGAAATCAATAACTGCGTGTGACACCACGCTCTGTAGTCAGACTGCCGATACTAAGGGAAGTCCTCAACCTCAGTTTCTCACTGCTTCCCTGACGAAAAGAATCCTATGGCAGTTTTATTTCATCAGCTATGTTAGTTACATTTCCTGCCCTGATAAATGCACGCTACAAAGTCCAAAAGCACTTCAAGTTATCAAATTGCCTTTGATTACTTAAGTCTAAATAATATTTCAACCTTTTATCACTCTGAAGAAAAACTTTTAAGGTATTCCACTACCGATATTTTTTTTCTAAAGAATAAAATTTCCTTCATCTTTATTAATTTGGTTTAATAATTCACTTTCTGTACCTTAACTCACTATTTTTCTGTGCACTTCTTGATAGTTAATTTCATGGAGATTGAAGTTTGAAATTAACCATGATGTATTGAATATTATTATTACTATATTTATCTAGATGTATTTGATGTGACAAGTAAGACGGACTCCAGTGCTTCTGTTGACCCAATTCACACTAAGTTTGCACTATTTTAAGAGATAATTTGAAACTCTGCTAATATAGTTGTGTTTTTGAGAAATACATAATACAAAACTAAGCATCTGTTTGCTTATTAGCTGCCAAAACATCTGTATTGCCATGGTACAGTACAAGTCCTACAGACAGGCCCTTTGGAGAAATGTGGTTAAAGCATCGTTTCTTTGAAAGACGCACTTACAGCTAACAGACAGATGTGTACTTACTGTCCCAGAGCTGGTGCTCTGACATCAGTGAATGGCCTAAGTCAATTGGCAAACTCAGTGAATGGTTTTAGGATGAACTTCTTCAGCATGAAGTATGCTGGCTCTTCCTGCAATCATTCACTAATTGGGCTTGTGCTCACATAGTACTTTGACCTGTGACATCCCCACTAAAATAAGCAAATAAGTCAAGGTAGTATTTTTATGTGAGTCACAGGTTCTTTAGTGCCTTTTTTATAACTATCAACGTTTAGTGAATTTTCTGATCCTCAGCCATGTGAAAGTATCCTGAGGACTGTTCTCCAGTGCAGGCTCTGTTTTCTTCTGCCGCAAGTGGAGACTGCTTGCTTTTATGGTTTGAAGAGTACTTTGGAAGTAGTTGTTGAATTTTCCCTGCTGTGAGCTGATGAGGAAAGGCCAGTCCCCTGGAACTGTCTGCATCCTTTCTTGGGGCCAGATAACCTTTGGACTCTAGAAACTCTTGCAATATTTTCTTTTTAGCTTTGTACAGAGACCTTTCACATGACTCAGACAGCTGGCTACAAATCTAGCATCCCTGGGGCATTCCTGAGTTTTCATAGCTGAGGATAAGATGGATATATCTTACTTTTATATTTACTAAGCTTTTAGCAACTCCAGAATAGCAAGCAAAGGTCTTCCTCACTGTTAGTATTATCACTGTACTTGGAGGTTTTCGGTGTTCATATTTCATCTATACAGAAACATTTCTTTTGATGCAAGAATTATGTGATGTCGAACCACTTTTCTAATGTAATTACTAATTAAAGAATATCCTTACTCCACAAGACAGGTGCACGTTTGAGATTTTAGCAGATGCTGAAATGCAAGTTATTAGACTGCAGCCTGCTGCTTTGGCTCTTACTCTGGCATTGTTACTCATTCCAACTAGTTTGCTTCATTAATGCTTCCATTAATTTCTGATACCCAATATGAAGATGGAAGGTTCTGTACTTTAACAAGGATGATCTTTACATTACATACTTTTAGAACTCATATAAAGATACCTGTTAATACTAAAAGTTGTTTCATTATTTGAAGCTGTTGAAATTTAAGTCTTAGATCAGTTAGTGCACTTGTATATCTTATCTGGAATGCATCTGATGGTTCAGTTTTCATGTAGAAAAGCCAGAATAATAGGAAAATACTTCAAGCAAATATATATTTCTCAGTGTAGGTAGGGAACAAGTTAACTGTTTTGAAAATCTATTTGAATCTTCCTCATAATTATCTTTTCCTTCCTTCTTCATTTAAAATCCCTGTCATATCCTTAAGTCCTTTTTTTACTCCCCACAGGTACCCGTGTTCTCCAGAGCAACCTGAAATAGCTGTTGCTACGCTGATTGGAAGGAGCTGACAACATGGATGGACAGAAAGGTCAGAAAAAATTTCAGTTCTAATTGTCTCTTCTCAGCTGCAAAGAGTTAGTGCTACCTGGTACTGTTAACATTGTGGTGTCTGACCTAAATGTGCTGGTAAAACCTCAGGCTGAAAAGTTGGAAGTTCTTAGCGTTGTTGTAACCTAGTTCCTAAATGATGGACTTCTGAGTATGTTGATACTGCTCTGGAATGCTGTACAGTTTAGCAGATACTGTCCAATTAAGAAATATGAGCAGGGTATGCCACAGGATACAAAGTTAACTGGAGGTTCTACGATACCAAGGGCACAAATACTGAGAAGAAACTATTGCCTGTGATAGATGTAACCAAAGCCTGTGTGCCGTGAGTTTCTAGAACATATATATGCATTGCTAGAGATCTATCTGTACGTGGTAGTATGCACATACTGTAAGAGTTAGGAACAATTAATCAGCATTTTCATGAAGCAAATTTCTGCACCTTTTATGTCCATGCTAGTAAGCATGCATTAGTTAAAGAGTATCAACCAGCCTGAGGTTAGAAACAAAGACCATCTCTAAGACTGTTCCCAGCACAGCATGTTGAATGCCTATAAAGTCTGCCTCCAGAGTAAGCAGCAGAACCATGAAAAGTAAATATTGCTCAGATATCTTTTCATGTAATCACTTTAATCATAACTGTAATTTTATGGCAGATCATGATAACTTAAAAATCTTTACTCTGAATAATATCTTCTGCAAATCTCAATAGTTTTTTTTAAATGATTACTCCAACGTGAAGAACTTAATGGGTTCAAAGTTCCCAGTTCCTGACTTTAGAACATGGTCTCTCAGAAATATATTCTGTTTGTCATTCTAATCTGAACATTATTTAAAATGAGAAGCATGGCTTACTAAAAGATTATAAACAACATATGGCAAACAAACCAAGACGTGACGGTTTTTACTCCTTTTTAATCCATTTTCTTTCCTCCCCTGAGTAACTTCCTCCCTTTTTTCTCTTAATTTAGGCTGAGTTTATAATAGTTCCTTCAATCATTGTCATGAAAATGTCTGAGAACAAGTGAAGTTGTATATACAACATATACAGCTTACTTTTCTTGTAGTCACGGACTTTATTTCTTGTGTCTGAATCATTAAGGCTATGATAGAAATGCTGTTGTGGCAAGCATCCTCACTGCAGATCTTTAATGGGCTCTCCCCTCTGTGCTCTTGATATAGGTAGATTCAGTTCTCAACTTAGATAGTTATTGTTTTATTTGGATATTTTATTATTTTTCTTTTGCTCAACAATCAAGAAGTTAGGGGTCAGAAAACTTTGCAGAGTTCAGCAGCAAACAGTTATGGCAAAAACATCTCTGTGTTGCAGGAAATCCAGTTAACTGGCAGTATAATAGGGAAATTCAGACCTAATATTAGTTTGTCATCTTGTGTTTGCTTATTTGTTTGTTTTTTGAGGTGGAAGGTGTTTTATTCATTTCAGAGCTAACTTCTAGGTTGAGAGGGTGTGGCTGATACCACATTTCTGGCTTATGATTTCTGTGTCAGAGCTGACTACAACAAACAACAAAATTGCCTTAAGTGACATCTGACAAATGTATAGGGGGAAATTTTTGTCCACCAGAGAGCTGTGCATAAGGATTGGGTGTACTGAGGAGTCCAGCTGCCTAGGTTCATAAAGAAGAGCCTAAAGGTAATTGTAAATGATGTGGATTACAGGAGTCCCCAGTGTATCAGTAATGATAAGAACCAAAGGAGTCCTGAAGATACTTTCTTCCTCCTTGCTATCTGTTATGTGTACCCTGCTTACAACTTAGCCTTCATGGTTAACTACACGTATACACACAAAATAATAGCCCAGTGAGAAAGTTAATATTCCAATATGCACTTAAGTAGGGAGTGAACATAGATGGGCAGAGATAAGGTTACTGTGTTACTTGAGTAATAAGATAATTATGTAAATGAGTGCAGAATGGTAACAGACATTCTTCAACTCTGAGTACAGGGCAGAGAGAGGCTGACAGGGAAGGAATAAAATTCATGCTATTCCTATGAAATTGAACAACTATTAGGATAAACAGTAAGATACAGATCTCTGATATGACTTATTGCAGACTAACATGAAGACGGGTACAAATTTCTCCCCATAACATCTTGCTTAATTAAGCCAGATAAATTAGAGGTGCTTGGGGAAACAGATAAACCATGCTTTCTTGCTCAAAGTACAACATTAAAAATCATCTTTCTTTCTTAAATAATATAATGTGAAATTGTTACCTACCTTAAGTTCTCTAAAAAAGATGCTACTCCTAGCCCACTCGACGATGGAGAATAGGGTTTGGTCAGCCATTTTACACATGAGCCCAAATGTGTTGAGCTTCTCGTGTTTGCTTCTGTTGGCTTGCTCTTGCTGCAGATATGCCATGATCTTAGCTTGGACTTGCGGTTCGTCTGGCTCACATTTCAGGAGTTCCAATATCAGATGCGGAATACTTGCTGGTGAGCTTGTTTGATAACCATCCATGTATGAGTAGCCCATTATTGACTCTGGTGAGCTAGTGTAAGGGTCGGGGTACTCGGACTTGATAGCACGGCTTGGGAAGTGGCCATATGTTTGGTAACCTTGCAAGCTGCCGTGGGGTGGCATCGTCATACTAATTGGAGAAGTTACAAAGGGGCTTCTGTCATAGTCTGTGGGAGGCAAGGCAGTATGGTTCAGAGGTAGGCCTTTGGAGGCAGAATGGATGTTCTGGATCGCAGAGGATATTGTCAGGTCGGTTGGCATAGCTTGGATCACCTGAGTCATGGCTTCCAGTTTAAGTCCATTTGCTCGGATAAGAGCCTTCTTCTGCTGCTTCAGCGCCCTGTCTCTCTTGTACATCGGTCCAAACTTGTTTCTGCCGCCGCGCATTCGGTCAGCTCGCACAGCTGTCAGGGGAGAGGAAGAAATAAATCATAACAAAAACTGGAAATGGACATTTCCATAATGAAACATACATTAGGACGGGGCATAAATGTAGACATGTAACTCCTTGATTTATTTCATTTTTTTCAAATTCAAAATAGTACTTACTCCTGAAGAAAGAGTTATTTGATTTAACAAGTGCCACTTATTTCTGATAACTGAAATAGCACATGCACATTGCTAGCTTGGAAGGACTGCTCTTTACAATGATTAAGACACAGGGACAGACACAGTGCTTGGCTACAGGAATTCACACCTGCTATGGGATCACATGGAGATCTTACCATATATTTGGTTTATGTCAGGTTGCTATGTCATTAAGAAACAAGGGCTGATGTCCAGAATATGTCTGAGACATAGCCAGTAGACCACAGTGCCTCATTATGGTCATTCCATTAAAACATCTGAAACAGAAATTGTGAAATGTTCAGTAGTCACAAAAGAGAGCATGTCTTTTTTTCCTGGCAAAAAGGAAGTACTTCCTTTGGAAGATTCTGTTCAGGCTGGTGTGCGACTTTAAGAAATTTGCAGGTATCTGAACAGCTCTACAGAAATGTTCAGATGCAGTTGGAATGCGCAGAGAAAAGCTGCCAGCCTGCTGCCTTCCACGTAGAAGGAGGAAGTGACACAAACTATTGGTGCTGTTTTGGCTTGTAATATGTCTGGAATTAAAAATAATTAAAACAAATCCACGTCAACAGCTGCCTTGGGAGTCACGCTGGTGGTCTGTCACAGCAGTGACTGTCACCGTGCTGTACGTGTAATGGAATAGAGAGGAGCTCTCGCCAAGCCCACCTCGCCCAACGGCAATTACACTGAGAGGAACCTTTGACAGCCGGGTGACATGTGGACACTGCTGAGATTGCTGGAGGTTAAGTTCTTGAGCTTTTTATCTTAGGGATTAGTAGAACATTAAAAATTTATTCTGGATGCTGGATACACATAATACTGCGCATTATCATAAGGACTTTAACGTTTAATGATTGTTTATTTTTTTTAGTGCATGGTAATTTGTAAACAAGACTTTAAGGCTATACGTATATATCACTATCAGGGAAATACATAAATGTCACAGGTATTTACAGTTACAGCAGCACATGTTGTTAACAGTTCTCTAACGAGAGGAAAAGAAGTTGTATGGGTGTACAGTGAAAGGAGTTGGAGTACACTTCTAAAGCACCTTTAAAACTATGTGCACCTTACTTAAGTTTGCAGTAAAATGTTCCTAATAATGCTGCTGAATGTTGGTTTTGAGTGAAATGTAGAGAACTAATTAAATCACAGTGCTGCCAAATGTAACCTTAACTTCAAATCTGCATACACAGATACCTTCCAGGTATCCAGAATTAACAGCTACATGGCAAATTCTACTAGCAAATGCTCTTGGTGTAAGTCCTACAGAAATTAGGGTGCATTGCATGCAATCACAGAAGCACAAAAAATTGTACCTGTATCATTGCCCACAATTGAGAGGAGCTAAAAGTAGTTTATGCAATTTATCCTTGTTATCTGCCAGCAAGGAGAAAATGACTCCCAACGTCTGGTTATTTTACTGCTTGAATTTGGATGTGTGTGCAGGGTTTGGGATGTGTAGTGCAGCATCAGTGGTAGCTGAGACTGCGGGCAGACAGAACAGCGCTGAATGCGTCAGATTGCAGAGGGCTGATCATTCTGTAGATGTTCAGTTATAGCAGAAGTTTTCCTCTGCCAAACTCAGGTGTTTGGGGCTTGCCCTTTATAGCTCCCTTAACGGTTTATTGTATCCCTTGTTGGTCTGAGTCTTCCTTGTTAGGTGTCTCAGGTAAATGCCATTTTGGCACAAAAGAAGAATAAGGAATGTAGAAGGATGTGCTTGGTGAAGTAGAAATGCTATTTGCTTTGAAATCTCAGTTTATTTTATTTATCAATGTTAAAATCAATTTGAGTCTCACGTTTGAATCTCGTGACATTTTTGCATTTTCTTTTCTCAAAGGGTATCGTATCCTCTACATTCCTCTCTGTACAGGACAGAGCCAAATGAAGTGAAAAAGTATACTTCGAAGTCCTTATTCTTCCATTGGTAATACCACTCAGCTGTAGCACCATGAAAAATACAGGACATAACTTTAGAAGTTTTTGGTCCTTAATCCCAAAAGCAAGTTGCTGTAAGAAAGGACTTATATATTCTGTCTCTCTTTTTGTGCCATATTATCAGAAGATAATACTATAAAGGAACCCTGGATAAAATAGAAATAAGATCACATCACTCTAACAAAGAATTTCTAAAACCTAGATGCCTCTTACATATTTAGTGTAATCTAAATTAAATCCTTTCATAAAGCTGCAGAACTAATTTCCATACTATTTAGAGCCCTTCATTTGCAAGCTTGGAGGTACTGAAATATCCAAGTACGTACATACATGAAAATGGAGTGTATGGTTTTGGCAAGTTTTCAGAGATGTACCATTTACTTGTTGTTGTTATAGGAAGCCTCAGTCTCATTGAATGTAAGCCACCTTTTACTACAACTTTAAAAATATGCTATATAGCATAATGCACTGCTGCTGGTGATGTGAGCAGGGCTGGGGCTCTTACCTTCTAGTTTCATTCCAACACTGAGGCATTTTTGAAATCGGCAGTAAGGGCATCGCTTCCTCTGGGTTTTGTCAATCTGGCAGTTCTGGTTTTCTATACACGTGTACCTCTTGTTATTCTGCACCGTCCGTTTAAAGAATCCCTGCATGGGAGATAGGAAAATCAGCCCGTTCTGCTCGAATGGTGTGTTTCAGCATTTCATTGCACAGAAAGCATTGTAACATATTCATCAGACTCTTCTTACACAGTTCTACAGTCAGTTTTAAATGAAAGTGAGACGTATCTAGGAAAGAAGCACCAGACCCTACAGGAGCTTCTCTTGAGCTAAGGCTCTGCCTTCTAGGCTTGCATCAAAGCTTAGCAAGAGACTGTAGGCAGTGTGGAAGGAGAGGCTGGGCAGCTCCTTCTGCACGACTTAATTGTAAAATAAGTGTTCCTTCCAAAGCGGTTCTCTGTAAAATAAGTAGGAACACTGTGGCAAAGATAAAAACAATACAGAATACCTCTGGTGAACGTGTGTCCCAGTGGTGCGTGCTAAAGGCATAAGTGCTTGTTATTCAATTCTCATTGATTTTGTTTTAATGAAAATATAATGTGCCAAGTTAGTTTTGCCGTGCAACTAAGTGTTTTAAATTGCTTTGTTCAAGCCGTGGAGCTTCCTTATGGTGCATTATTTAGATGGCTGTAAAGAACTTTGCAAATTTTTACCTGACAAATTGATCACACTATAAATTCATGTATATTTAAACTTGAGTGTTAAAAAAAAAAAAAAAAAAAAAAAAAAAACCATGCAGAGAAATTAATTCAGAAGTAGTTAAAGGTGGTTCCTTTACAAAAATGTTATTCTCAAAATAAGGAACAATTGAAAACAAGTCACACATTTGTAGCTTTGTGTCAGGTGAGCTCCGGCAGTGTCTGGCTGCTGTAAGAACAGCCAAGTCACCACCATCACAGAAATGTGCTGTAGCACCGAGGGATGGGAAATCGTACAGCTGTAGGAGAGTGTGAAAGTGAGCTGTGCTGAGGAGACTCTGACTTTGTCCTCCGGGAAAAGAAATAGCCTAAGCATACGTAAATCAACAGAGATCGATATTTGGGACAGTTAGGAATAAAAGTTATGCTGTAACTACATCACTTTATAACAGCAAAACACTTTAAAGTAACACTAAAGCTACGATGGAAAACAGCCCGCATTGTTTCTTCCTTTTTGTGCAAATGAGCTCTCAAAGAGACTTGAAACCCTACAGCGTTTGGTGCTTAATTTTTCGTGAGAATCTAGCAAGAAACACATTAGAAACAAGCCCAGCTATTAACTGCCTTAGTTTGTCTTTTTTTTGTGTTTATATTTAAAAGTTTTATGCTGTACTTCTGTTTGTATGAAGCAGTGAGTACAGAACCTTGCAGCTCTCGCAGGTGAGCAGCCCGTAGTGGTACCCCGACACTTTATCTCCGCACACCGGACACAGCTCCTCCAGGTCTTCGTCATAAGAGTAATTCACCATTTTAAACTGAGACACTGGGAAGAGGAGAAACAGCACATTCTATTAGGATTTACGTTAATAACTCACTTTTTTTCCTGGAACTGCTCTCATCTAGAGGAGCAGTTCTCTTTAAAGTATAGCAGAAAGTACTGCAGAAAGTTCAATGTTTCAGAGTACGGCTGGCACTGCAGCGTGCAACTTTTGCCCAACAGCAAATCCGTGTGGCACTGAGCAGGTGAAGCCAAACCCTCGGCTCCTCACGTTTAGTTCTCAGTATTTATGTTCACGGAGTGCTCTTAATTCAGCGCCTAGCTGAGGGAAACACAAATTAAACGAGTTCGTTTAAATCCGAGAGTGATCGGGAGCGGGCTTTAAGAAAGTGCAATGGAAAGATGAAGCGTCACCGCCGTATTTAAAGTGACTCGGTTCGTTTCCTTTAAAGTTTTCTTTCAACATCAGGCTGCAAATATTTACTTAGCCTAGGCTTGTATCTTACAGCCCAGCACTTTTGTGCCGCGTTGCAGTCAAGTTACTTACTTGCTAAGCGGGAGCTCGTGGGCTCGGGGCGACCGCCGCCCCCCGCTCCGCTCCGCAAGCCCGGCCCCGAGCCGCAGCGGGAGCGCTGCCCGCAGCTCCGGCGTGCCGCAGCCGGGCACGGCGTCGCGCTCAGTCTCGGCGCTGCCGCCCGGCCCCGGTGGCGTGGGCGAGGAGCGGGTCCCGGCTCCCTGGGGGTCAGGGCTGCGCGCCCGGCGTTCGGGCCGCTCGGGGAAGGGGCTGGGGAGCCGCCCGGTGGGCGCACGCCAGGCTGAAGGCGGGCGCGGAGTGCGGTCGCTCGAGTCGGGCTCCTTCCGAAGAGCCCTCTCGGCTGCTCCGGCGGGCGATTCGCGGAAAGCGAGCCCGTCCGGAGCGGCGCCGCCGATTTCCCTCCCTGGACCTCGGGTCGGCGGCGGCGGAGGGTTCCCGAGCGGTCGCGGGAGGTGCCGGGCGCGCAGCGGCGGCGCTCGGGACGTCGCCTCCTTCCCGGTAGCCCCGCGGCTGCCGCGGGTCGCGGGCGGCGGAGCGACCGTAGCCCGCCCGAAGCGCCCCGGTGGGAGCCCGGCTGGGGGCCGCGGGAGCTGCGCGCCGGGGCATGAACCCGCCGGCACGCGGCCGGGGCAGCGGCTCCGGGGCGGCCTCGGCACGGCCGGAGTCACCGCCTGCCAGCGGCGTGGGGCGGACGCGGGGCGGCGGACGGGGAGGAGAAAAGCCCGGCCCTCCCCTCCGCTCCCACGGCCGCCGCTCCGGGACCCGGCGCTGGGACCGAGTTCTCTCTCCTCGCAGGAAAAAAAAAAAAAAAACCAAAAAAAACCAAAAAAAAACGAGTGGGAAAGTAGGGGTTTTCCGAGCGTTTGGCGGGGAGCCTCCTCTGCGGGCGAAGAAAGGGGCGGGCGGGCCGCCCCCGGCACCTCCGAGCCCCCGGTCCACCCCGCCCCTACTTCCCTGCGGGCTCCCGGGAGGACGGGGGACGGCTTCCGAAGAGCCGCGGGGCAGGACAGGACCCGTCGCTCGGGGCAGGCAGGGGGCGGAGCGGGCGGCGCCCGTTCACGGGGTCGCGGGAACCGATCCGTCGCGGCGGCTCTCCCCGCAGCCCCCGGTCCGGCCCGGCCCGGCCAGCCGAGGCGCTTCCAGCTCGTGCGTCCCGCCGACGATGCACGCGCGCCGGGGCTCGGGGCGAAGTTTCGCCCCGCGGCCGCTGCCACCTGTGCCGTCCCCTCGGGCCCCGGGGTTGGCACTCCGGGACTTTCCCGCGCGGCACCTCCGCCGGTAACTTGGCGATAGTTTCGGGCGGAGCGGAGATGGGACGCCCGCGCCGTTTCGACCCGCGCCGGTGTCTCCGTGTAGCGGCCCGCGGGCGTCTGCACCTCCGGGCGAGGCTCCCGACCGCCGCGGCCGCGCCTCCCGGCCGGGCCCTACCGCGATCCGGCGCCGGTGCTTCGGTGCCCGAGCCGCGAAGGCGCGAGTTCGGCGGAGCTCGCGGGCGGCAGCCCTAAACTTTTTTGGCAGGACGCGGGGGCGGTTTGAAGGGGTGGGGAGCCGAGCGTGCGCGGAGGAGGAGAGCCGTGCAATTCCCCCCTTACCTTGCATGTTTTCTGGCATCTGCCCCTGTTCCCCATTCGACCGGGCGAGTCCCAGGGCCTCCGTCTCCACTTTGGGCAGCATGACAAGGCGGCTGCGGGCCGGGCTGGGGGCTCCGTGTCCGTCCGCGGCACCGGCACCTGGACACGGCAGCACAGATTTAGCGGGACCGTGGGGCGCTCGGCGACGACGCCTCTTCTTCCTCCTCCTCCTCCTCTTCCCTCCCTCCGCTCCGCTCCGCGCCGGCCCCTGCCCCGCTGCAGCGGGAGCGCCGAGCGGCCCCGGCCGCCGGGAAGCGCCGCCGGGTGCCCGCGGCCGGGAGAGCCGCGAAGCAGTTGTCGGTCTGCAGGCGGCGGGGGCGGAGAGGAGAGGAGGAGGAGGAAGACCGGGGGGTGTCGGAGAGGAAGGAGCGACCCCGGGAGCCCGCAGCAGCTCCGCCCGGGGCTCAGCGCGGCGGCAGCTCGGCGCCCCGATCCATGCGGAGAGGCGCAGTGCACGGGAGCGCTCTGCCGCCGCCGGTGCTGCTGGACAGGGTTCCCACCCCCGGTCCCCTCCTCCCTTCCTCCCTCCTCCTCCTCCTCCCCCTTTCCCCCGCCACAAGTGCAGAGGTGCCGAGCCGGGACCTCTCGCCCCGGACCCGTGGGGAGGCGCTCCCGGAGCCCGGGGGCCGCGGGGGGCTTCGGCGAAGGGGGGCACCGGCACGGCTCTCGCAGCCAATACGGCGGAAGAGAAGCGAGCGACACCCCCGCGCACACACGCGCGCACACACACGCTCGACAGCGTGATCGCCCCCCGCCCGCTTGTTGGCCGGGCTGCGGGATCGGGGCCGCAGCCGAACCCGCCCGCCCCAGAGCAGCCCGACGGCCCCCGGCCCGCCGCGCGCCCCGCTGCAGCTCCCCTCTGCCTCCCGCGGGACCACCGGCGCTCGCCTGTCCTCCTGCTGGAAGGGGCGGGCAGCGGGAACCTCGGCGTCTGGGGAACCCCGGCCCTCGGGACCCGCTGCCGCCTCTCTGCCCCAGAGCCTGAACGTAGCGGGCGGGAGTTCGCCTATCTATTCTGGCTCTTTGCGTCTCCTTTCCCTAAAACTTCTTGCGAAATCTATCGGTGCCGGTTGCATCGTTTGCACAAAATCCGATGCCCTGGCCGAGCCATCGCTTGAGCAAGAGCTTCCCTTCCCCGGCTCACGGTGCGGCGAGCGGCACTACTCCCCTGCGTTATCCCAGATAACTCGTTTCTCTCCAACGGGCGTCTCAGCGGGAGCTGGGCGGCTCCGCAGCGCGAAGCAGCCCCGCACGGCCGCGCTGAGGCCGGGGGTCCGCCCGCCCCGCTGCTCCCCCCCCATCCCGGCCTCTCTGTGGGCACCGCGGTGTGGGCTGAGCGTTATTGTCACCTCTGCGGGCATCCGAGACCCCCCGCCCGTGCTGCTCTGAGAGTTCAATCACCGTTCCGTATATTAAAAGCTGAAAACATTCGGCGCTGAAAACCGCTTCCGATTGAAAGTGAGGCGCGGAACTGTCCGCGGCGCTGGGACCGCTTTTCCCGTCGGCTGGGACAGATTGCGGAGTAGCGGACCGTGTTCGAACTTACAGCCGCTTGTGATGAACGAAAGGGAGCGGGGCCGGAGTGCGTCGCGTGTGCCATTTTCTCCACAGTTCGAACTTTTCTCACCCACCGACGGGGAGACCTTTGCTTAACTGAGTGCAGACCCCGAGCCAGCCCTACACAGACAGAGAGTTCTGTCTGTCTTTCCCGCTCTGCTCAGGGTGTTCAGCGTTGCGGGGCTGGACCCAGCGCGCAATGAGGCTCGGAGCTTACGGGCTCCTTACGTTTTGCCATTCCCCTTCGGCACGTAGCCGGGCAGGGAAGTTTTGGTCTATGTCATCGCGTTATTTCTCAAGCTGTAACTTCACACCTTAGCGGTTCTCCTGCAGCGCGATGCAGAGGCGCGACGAGCCGCGGGGCGCCAGCGCGGTGCTCTGCGGGGCGGCCGAGAGCCCCCGAGGGAGTGCGCCCGTGCCCCGGTAGGAGCGGGCCGGGCCGGGCCGGGACCGTGCGGCCGCTGGGGAGCTTCTCCCCCCGGCCCCAGTCACAAACAAGCCCTCGGGACGGCGTCGCCGTGCGGCGTCACCCGGGCAGGCTCCCTACTGCGGCCCGGCTCTGGCCGGAGCTGAGCGCAGCGGCGGCTCCGCTCCTTCGGCCGCCCGCCCCGGGGCTCGTGGCTCGAAGCTCTGCGCTCCGTCCGGGGGCCGCGCTGTGCGACGGGGCCGCGGCTTCGGGCCCGGCGAGAGGGCGGCCCGCAGAGCCGTCGGGGAACCGCCGCTCCCTCCCCGAAGTCCTGCCGAGGCGTCCCGTGCCGCTGCTCTCGTGAGTTCTGCTCCGAGAAAAGCGCACGCTTTTGGGCAAAAGCTGGGGCAGAGAGCCCCGCGGGCAGCCCCAGCAGAACGGCCGAAACGCCCGCACCCCGGGCCTGGCCCTGGCGGCTGTCCTCGGGAGCTCCAGTCTCACTCGTGGGCTCCGCATAGTTCTGCCGGGCAGGGATTGGGCAAGCACAGCGCTGCAGTGCTGCTCTGCCAGCCATCGCTACAGATGGACGTACTTTGGAGAGCTTATTACACATCCACTTCTCCGAAGTAACAGTTTAGGGCAGTACACATTATAAATGATACCTGGTCCCTTGTGGCTATGTTTAATTTAACATGGAGTCCTAGCACTCACGATTGCCTTGAGCAACCTTAATTACCCTTTCTTCTAATCTCTTCTCCATTCCTTACCAAGTTCTCCAAACTTTTTTTTTTTAAACGTGATTTCTCTCCTGAGTTTGCCTGCCTTGTTCTGACTTTGCCTGAAGGTCTTGATTGACGCGTGTAATTATAATTATAAAAGATGATGGCTCGGGGAGCCTCCAGCAGCCTTGATTAGTACGAGGAGCAAGACCTGGAATATTTTATACTTCCCTATTTAAATGTATGTTCATTTACATTAAAAAAACCACACAGACTGATTTTCAATAATTTGAAGCTTCTTCCACCTCTCTGTTAGAAAGCAAAGGGTTCTGTGTGGTGATACTTCAAGCTCCAATTTCTTATGGCTTCAAAGAGGCCGCAGAATTGGGGCTGATGTTGCACACACACAGACATCCCCATGCCCGAGGATCTGCTCGAGAGCAGCCAGTAACGCTCCCTGCCACCTCTACAGGGGAAAGTGGCCCAGAAAAGGTTGGGTTTTTGTTTCCAGCAAGCAAGCTGTAGTGAGAGGGAACCTCGGGGATAGGGGAGGTGTCTGAGACAAACTCTGCAGAAACAAAAGGGAAAAAAGAAATGAAAAACTGAAGTTTTCTCTTGGGAAGTCTAAATGCCAAGTCAATCAAGAAGACTTATAAGGAAGTACTTAAGAAGGAAAGAAATCCTCATCTGTTCTCTGCCCTCTCCCTTCCTTTCGAGTATCACGTTTTTAGCCCCAGAGTGAATCTCAAGGATCTCTCCCCGAAATCGGTGCCTTCAGCCAGTTGTGGGTGAAGTCCCTGCCAAGGAGCTGGCCCCAGCGAGACCCAGCCCCAGCAGCACCCAGCCCTAGCGGCACACCTCCCCGTGCTGCTCCGTGCTGCCCCACACCGCCTCACGCTGCCCCAGCCCCGGACGTACACGGGCAGTGCCCCCGGGCTGGCAGCCTGTGACTGAGAGCAGCACGAGCAGCTCCCCTCTGCAGCTGCAACATTTGTAATGCTGCTTCTGCTTCATCTCACTCAGCTCTCACTCCCAACTTTACGAGACTGTTTATACCAGGAAATACATATCTGTCACAGACTCTATTCTAATTATTTTCCTTCTTTTTCTTTTTCTTTTTCTTTTTCTTTTTCTTTTTCTTTTTCTTTTTCTTTTTCTTTTTCTTTTTCTCTTTTTTTTCCTTTTCTTTTCCCTCTAGTCTCTCACCCCATGTCTTCTGCCGTGTCCCTGCCATCCCTACCATCACAATCACCCTCACGGTACGACAGGGAGAGTTCCCTGAAACCTCCGAAGCCACACAGCCCACGGGCTCCTCTCATCTTAGCCAACTCAGCCTCTCAACTTAGCCAAAGAACATTGCTTTTGGTTCCTAAGGATTCGGTTGGGCAGAGGTTGTTAGTGCCTCCAACTCATGCTTTAGAAAGCAAACTCTCCCTTCCATAAAACTGCAAAAGCACAAAAACATACTTTGTTTTTCTGTAATGTTTCTGATCTGCTGTCAGCAAATCAGAGACAGTGTTCGGGCTGCAGTGCTTTCTGCAGCAAAACGCACACCACAGAGGATCACTTTCCAAGCCTGTTGCTTTTTTTCTGCTGCAGGTCATCACCGCTGCCTTGCGGAGATGCCGATCCTCTCCGGCCCGAACCGGAGAGCCTTTTCCAAGCAGTCAATTATTGACCGAGAAGCTATTTTTAACGCCCGGCCGAGCTTACTGCTGCGCGCTGGAACGCCCTGCTGCCTTATAAACACCTGGCTGTGACGGGTGATGCGAAACTGCGGGATACTCCAGGGCGAGGAGCGCGTCGGGCCAAGTGGGTGGCAAAGCACCTCCGTGATTGCTTTTCTTTTATTGCCGGTGACTCACCGGAAGGCGTTGCGATGCCGCACCCCGTCCTGCCGCAGCCCGCCGGGCTCGGGGCGCAGCGCGGTGCCCCCTGACGGCTTGGGGCAGCGGCTCTCCTGGCGGCTCTCCGAAGGGCTGCCGGCGCCCCTGCGGGGCCCGGGGGGAGGCGAGGGCTGAGGCAACGCGGCCGGCCCGGGCGGCGGAAGGCGCGGGCGCCGCGGGAGAGGCGAGCCCTGCCCGGAGCTTGCGGGTGGGGTTCCCCGCATCGGCAGCACCGGCAGCACCGGCAGCGAGCCGCAGCCTTCGGCGCAAGCCAGCCTTTAGCCTAACACACTCAAAGAGTCGGTTTTGCAAGTAGAAAACATGCTAGTTTTCTTTCTTTCTTAACGGTAGATGGTATGCCTTTCGTAGAGAAGACGCATTCTATCCCAGCACTGCTCGGACCTGTTGCCGCTAACCGCACGAAGGGAAAACGTCCTCGCGCCGAGGACACGCAGCGGGCCCCTCCCCGCGCCCGCCTCGCAGCGGAGCCGCAGCCCCAGCCCTGCTCGGAGCGGCGCGGCGCGGGATGCTGGGCAGTGCTGCCCTCCGGGGCCGGGCACGACCGCCTGGGTGCAAATACCCACCCAGCTATTTGTTTACTTCGCTGGCGGGTCCGTTTGTCTCGGCCGCGCTGCCC